GACACACAGGTCGATCTACAAGCAACAATACTTATATCTACAAAAAAACACAAAAACCATATAGAAGATTCGAAATTGAAATCCTGGAGAGAATACTGCACTAGAGCTAGCAAAGGCCCTTGGGGTATCTTACTGTAACAGATTAAGAAAAATGGAGGCCGTGACCACTATGTAAACTACAGAAGGTCATACAAATAATCTGCAAACTACCATCAAAGCTAAATTTCAAAAAAATGTGTGTAGAAGACAATAAAAACGAAGATGTTGACATAGTGAAATCACAGACAAGATAAACACAGATATTAACACGTCTGACAGCTTCTTTCAAATGCGAAAACGTTGGCAAGGTAATCACTAACCTGATAACAGAAAGACCACCAGGCACGACGGAATTACCCCAGAGATAATCAAACAAATTTGGAATATAAACCGACACTTTTTTTTCACTTCTTCAACACTTGCCTACATTTCAGCATCTTCCCCAGAGAATGAAAGAGAGCCAAGTTGATACTTTTCCCTAAAGTAAATAAACCTCGAGACTTCAGACCGATTATCCTGTTACCTGCACTAGGAAAAGTGGTGGAAACACTGCTTACAAACAGACTCTCTTGGCATCCTGAGTCAGATAAACTATGAGTGACAATCAGTATGGTTCTAGAAAGCAAAGGTTCATGCTATCATTATGAAGTCAACAACATCAAATCACTACGTAACAGGAATAAATATATTTTGGGACTTAGCATAAACATTCAGAAGGCATTTGACAGTGTGTGGTGGCCACTGGTTATTTATAGACTCATGCAGCTACAATGCCCCACAAAAATCTATCTACTGATGAAAGAATACCTACATAAGAAAACTATACCATCAAAACAGAGAATATTACTTTTACGACTGAGTATAATAGGGTCTGTCCACAGGGCTCGGCCTGTGAGCTGCTTCTCTGGTTCGTGCTTTTCAATGAGTTTTTGACCCAGGACTTCAGACAAGAAAAAATTATTGCGTATGCGGATGACGCACTCGCGGATGTTGTTGACAGGGTAACTCTAGAACAGAACATGAAAAGAAAGAAAAGTAGACTATGTCAAAAATAAGTAAATGAAGAGGAAAAACAAGCTGATCTTCAATCCAGGAAAAACGACAGGAATCGACTGGAACAAGCCAGGCATTCAAAACTTGTTAAAATGAAAAAATAAATAATATATATATTAAAATCCCATATATTACGAAACTTTATGAAAAATATAAAAAATGTTTTGAAAAAATATTTTGTCAATTTTAATAGATGAACAATGAAATAGACTAAGTAAGAGTATTTATTTGATTAAGAAAGGAAATGTTAAACATTCGAAGAATCCTTTGGAGGTGGCAGGAGTCGTTTAGATTGATGTGCATACATACAGCCATGAAGTACTATATTGGTGAAACAGGAAGAAAACTTGAAACGAGATTGAAAGAGCAGGAGGCGGCAATTCGATTAAAACAAACCGAATCCACGTGGCATCAGCATTGTAGTATTACAAATTGTATTTATTGATCATAATAATGTTAAAATATTGTATAAAATAGAAAACCTTGTAACAAGACGTATTATTGAACATTACTGCATTAAAAATTATGTAAGTACTATTAATTTAAATACTTGTGTAAGTGTAGACGCGTGCTGGGAAATATTGAATGTGAGATCCGAATAGCTCCTGGGTTTAATTAACAATTTAAAGATAAAATTAAATTTATGAAATAAAATATTCTTTCATTTCGGTGTGAAAATATCGTTTTTCTAACGTGGAAAAACTGATAAAAGAGCCACTTCCTTTAACGGAAGTAGACACATCCTTTTGTTTTCCACTTATCTATCACAAATCTCACCACACTGGGAATTGTCGACCCCTCAATAATTCCCCTTTTCATCCGTTCACGTGAGAGAATACAAATATGCTGATTTGTCACGAATCAGAAGATATAGTCAAAGATCGACATGATTCGAGGAGTACGTCGGGGAATCTCATATTGGAAAGAAGTTCCCATATTGTCTCCCTAAGGCCAACGTCCTTAGTCGTATCCAATCGAGTATAATAATGAGTTAATTTAAGAGAAAAGAAGAACCTTTTAATATTGTGCCAAATCAAGACCTCTCCATGAAACGAAGTATGATCATAGAATACAGATGGAGATAAAGATAAAGTAACTTTGAGGTAGTATGATTTTAAATGAATTTGTGAGCTCTCTCTCTCGAAGCTTATATTTAATTAATCCATTGTCTCTCATTTGCTTAATTTTATTTTTGAATAATTCCATTTGTGTAATTTTATTTACTTTTATTTTATTAAATCTTTTATTATTTGTTAAAGAAATGTCTCATCTTTGTCTGAATCAAATCCATATTATCTCCAAACGAGTGTTAATCCGCGTTTACAGAATGACTCCTACTAACAGCCTTTAGATAATCGCTCGAAAAGCCTCCATGGATCTCGAAATCAAATACAACGCATTAAAATGGAACCTGAAACATGATAACGACATCACCACCGGGGATGAGAGACTTAAAAAAGACGGTTTCGAACGAAAGATCTCTTACGCACTTATCCGGAACCCAAGTAAAAGAATATATTTTTACTCTGAACCATTGACAGATAATCATATTGACGTATACAGAGATGGATGAAAAATTGACAATAACGTTAGTGGCAGTTATGTAAAATATCATAAATATACGGAAATTGAGAGTAAACTTCTCAAATTAGACGATACATATACAAGTCGACCCCCCTATAACGTACGTTCCTATAACGACAATTCCTATAACGTAGCGAAAAAATTGTAGCAACTTTCGTATAACGTACCTCCTATAACGTCGTTACGCGACAAGATTGATAGAGTCTGGACCAATAGTGGATGAGCAGCCGAACTACTTTCCTCCGACCCTGCGCCACGCTACGGAGCGGCTAAATTGAGTTTGCTATCGTCTGTTTAGTATTATATATAAATTATATATAAATTAGGTACTGTACATATAATTATATATTAATTATATATAAATTAGGTACTGTATATATAANACAACCGTAAGGTTCAACTTGACCTAAAGACCGTGAAATCGAACTTGAACAACATCGAGTGAGAATGGCTTTGTCAAGTGCTGCAGGTACAACATCAGAACATAAAGCTCGACTTGAAGCTCTTCTGAATTCTTCAATTTTTACTTTCTTATAAAAATATTCTGTTAAGGTTGACAGGAAAATTTCTACTATAATAATAATACTAATCGAGAATAAGTTTATTAGCATCATTTATGTTTTACATTCATTCTCTATTCATTTTTGCATAAGGATAATCCAATGCAACAGAGCAAGTGCAACTCAAATTTATTATGGAAAAAATCACTGTTTCAGAATGACAGCGATTTTATAATATTGATATATTGTATTGTGGTTCGCAATGCGTTACATATAATATAAAAATTCATTTATATAAGAAACGATGCAAATTGTAAACTGTTTGTCTTTGTCTTCTTTGTAGCAGAATTATTTATTTATAATCGTCAATGCTTTTATTTAATAATACAGTCGACCCCCCTATAACACGGTAGATACGTTCCGTTTTTTTATGAAATTGATGTTTTAGGAGACCTTGCCAATCACAGCCTGACACGTGCGAAATTTACGGACTACGGCTGTTTGTAAGGTTTTCTTCCATAAAATTAATCGATTCTAGAATAATTCGACTTAACATTTCCAAAATACGCATATTTTTTGGGGGAATAATCCGTATAAACTAAGCTATAAACAAAAAATTGTAGGATTACTTACCGAGCGTGCACCGTTCGACGTCGCCATTGCTTAACGGCGGAAAGTATATATATATAATTATAATAATGTTAATTTATTGTAACATTATTATAATATTTTTTGTTACAATTTTAACTTAATTTATTGTAAGTTAATTTATAATTATATATACAGTACCTAATTTATATATAATTTATATATAATACTGTACAGACGATAGTAAACTCAATTTATCCGCTTAAACTGTCCGTAGCGTGGAGCTGGACGGCGGAAAGTAGTTCGGCTGCCTGATGACGTTTTACCGAATTATAGGAGTTTTTTTACCATGTTTGTACGGATACCTTCGCAATTTTTTCGCCGTCAAATAGGAATCCGAACTATAGGAATCCGTGTTATGGGGGGTCTACTGTATTATTATCTACTACTATTATTAAGACTTTTTAAGTTATAAAATTTACTGAAAAATAGTACACTTTTTAACAACATATATTATGTTTTCTGATTAAATTTGAATAGAAGTTGAAATTTTTAATCAATAGTTATTAAAAATAATAATTTATTTAAAAAAACGTGGCATTTGCTTACAATTTTACTTTTGAATAGATTTATTATATATAGATTTATACACTAATATAACTAGCTGAAAGACATGCTGTATATATCATATGTGTGTAGACCATATTTATTATATATATATCGTCATTATGTACAGTAATTTTTTTATATTTTTAGAATTTGGATAGTGTATCTTTGTTAAGTTGAATTTTGGATTTTATTCAAAATGACTTTGTGGATTTTATGCAAATTTTGAGATGATATCATCGAAAAATTTGGATATAATCCACGAATTATTTTTTTAAAAAATTATAACTGATATGAAAATCTTTTGTAACATTCGAAAATTTTACAATGTCTGTTATAAAATATAGGTAATTTTTTTAAAAATATGTAAAACAAATAATATTAACTAATTTACAGAATATTATAAGAACAATCTTGTGTTTAATATTTTAAAATATAAACGCATTACACTCAAATCATAGAAATGTTCTTAAGACTATTTTTACTGAACTGTTCTTCTGTTCGAAAAATCAATAAATCACTTAAACTATACTGGTATTTATATAAATAATATATCTCTTGCTACAAATAGACACATTGTAAGTAAAATAAATTTTTAATTTATTACTAGATTTTATATTTTATACTTACAGGTCACTGTAAATCTTTCTTTCCCCCTTTCTCTTATTAAAATTCCATGACATATTTCACATGACCGAATTTCTTTATTAAAACCTATAATGAAATTTCTTCGAAGTTTACAGGATGGAAGGAAAGTGTCACATCCTGAAAAAATATTTGATTATTCATTATTAAGTGACTACTTTTATAAAAGGAATACTGTAGTAGTGTACGTGATGAAATAACAAATAACACTAAAATTAAAAACTAGTTAAGATATCATTCGTTTTTACTTTCATTACTGATGGCACGAAGAGAGCCATTTTAGCAAAGCCAATGAGTTCGATTAGAACAATAGTAATATGACTGTGTGTGAAGGATAAAATCCAACAGGACCAGACATAACGAGAACAGTCTGTCTGCAAAATCCTTGAAGTTTTCCACCATGTCCATGAAAAAATCGGTTGAGTGAAACTCACAGACATCATTCAGAGTGGACAGAAAGTAGACAAAGTAAATTAATGCATAAAACTATCACTGTATAAAACTTGGAATTGAACTCCTACACAATGACATAGGCACGGTGGGTCAGGATTGGGCACTTGCCTCACCATGGCTCATTTAGTCAAACGAAAATTAATAGGTCAATAGGTTATAATAGTATTGCGCGACAAGAAACCATGTTTGAATCGTGCCGCGAAGACGCGATCATATTGATCGTTGACAGGAGCATGCTCTGGTCAACTAGTGGGGAACTGGTGGTTCAAGGTCTGGATGGTCTGTGGTAACATTCGAAGATTATAGAATTTAGATTTAGCGGGAAGTTCTAGTACTTTCTGTTCCCTATTTAAGAACTTCACTCAGTGTGAGTGACGTGCTTAAATATTACACCTATTACAACCTATTGGCCTATAACTTTTCGTTTGACTAAATGAGCCATGGTGAGGCAAGCGCCTCATCTTGCCCCATTCTGGCTCTGCCCGTCTTGTACATTGATTAATTATTTATTATGTTTTCAAAAATGACGTGGGCAGAAGTAACCAAGAAGTAAAATAATATAGACGACGGTCGTTTTATTGAGTGAAAGTTTAAATAAAAAGTTGTCGGATACATGTTCGACATTTACGCAAATAAATATATAAGTCCCTAAAAATAGTTGATACAGTAGAACCTCGAAAACTCGGCCTAATGTGGACCGAAGGGTGGCCGAGTTTGTGAAAATGCCGGGTTATCGGGAATGGGGTTAAAAAAATAAGTACGAGTGTTTCCTCAGAAAATACTGTACTTATTACTTAAAAAAATAAGTACGAGTGTTTCCTCAGAAAATACTGTACTGTACTTGTATGTATTGTTTACTTGAGAATATAACAGAGATTAAACTGCCCAAATACCCTTAAAGAAAGGAAAAGTACGTCCTTTATGAAGGCATAGAGCCTTTACTACATGAAAATGAAAATTAATGAATACACTGTGTACAGTAATTTACCTGATAAGACAGACCTCAGAAAAATACTTTACGAGAGCTTTTATACTTTTATAAAGCTGTCTATAATGAAAATTAATTAACTAAGGATTTTTTTGCCCTGCCAGGGTGTGGCCGAGTTATCCGGAGTGCCGGGTTATCGAGAGCCGAGTTTTCGAGGTTCTACTGTATTAACTCCCAAAATTAACAAAGATAAGCTACGTAAAAACAAAGGCAACCGTAAAGTAAAGTTAAAAGTAAATTACATTACATATAAGCTAAATTAAAAAGTATAAATTTTCTTCGACAAAGTTTGTTTTACGAAAAAGTTATTTTCTTTCATGTGCTTTTGAGATAATATATTTAACGATACTACAGTACTTTATTATAAAACTTTCCTTTGATTTTCCTTTCCTAAGTTGAAAATAACTCGTAAGTCATTGTTCATATCTTAGAATTCGCATATCATAAATTTTAACTACCGTAGTTATTAGCATATCAAACGACCTCTCATATAGGACGAGGTGTAACTTTAAAGATCAAAATAATAAAAATTACAATTATTAATACAATTCTAATTTTATTTCGTTTAATCACAAGTAAAATATCAAATGAACGTAAATGCGCGCATTGTCCTGCAAAAATTACTGCAGTGTTAAACTTTAAGGAAAAAATCTTGTAAAATCGATAACATTTACAATCGGGAATCTTACCTTAGCCAATTCTTAACAGTCAAATCCCGTCTCTGTCGATTACTCTTATGAGTTTCTCTGAACTCTTATTTCCAAATAATCATTTGTTTTCACGGGGGAATAAATTAAAATTATATCGAGCTCCCGTGTGATTATCGAATTTCAATCTGGAATTCAATGCAAAAGCTTTGCTTATCCTATCGCTGTTCATCTTTACTCCTGACGATACACAAGAACAATTCAAACGACGCAGATAAAATACTTATGTTTTTATATGCAAGAGGGCAATCATTTGGTAAAAAAGCGATTACACGGTTCACAAAAATTATTTGCAAATACGCAAAAAATCTTTCCCTCGTACGTGTAAGACGACCTACAAATTTTAAACCGTTAAATATTAATAAAAATCTCATTTTATATGCGAGTAAGTATGGTATATTTATATTTATACTTGTTTCATCAATATTTACAAAAATAAATGAAAAAGTAAAAATTATCCACCAAATCATATGCTTGTTAAACATATAAAAATTTGTAAGTTTCTTCATAATTGAAGTTTAGACTATTTACAAAAATTTCAAATTTTCGAGTCTATCTTAATCCTTTTCATACAACCCCAGAAGTAACAGTTAACATGGTTTTTTTAAGAATATACTTCTTAAAACAAAGGTAAACAATAAGTAAAAAAGTTCACAATGTTAAAAACAATCAAGTGCCAGCCTTCTGTTATAGGTTCTGACACCTTTACATTAAAAGCACGAAGAATTCTTCTCACCACATTGTACTTATCCATTTTTTTAACTGTTTCAGGAGGCCCTCTGGTGGTAGTTACAGTAATGGTCCCTCTATTGTACAGTAAATGGCCCTCTATTGTAAATATAAAATACAGTAGAGCGTCGTTTATCCGAAGGTCGGTTATTCGAAAGGTCGGTTATTATAAAAAAAGCTAATAAAATTAGTCGTTACAAAAACTATGCTGTGATATAAACAAGAGGCACCATTACCTCCAATTGTGAAATAAACATTTTGCTCCTTCTTACAGAAAATGAACATGCGTGCACATCATTCAAATGAAAATCGGTTGCTTAAAATAAGATCAACAATAGTTTAAATTATTACACAAAGAAATTACCAAAAACCAAATGTTGATAGTTTTAAAACCAAAGCTCTATTAATACCTGACAATAGAAATAAATAAATACAGTACTGATAAACAAATAGAAGCTAAGAATTTTATTAAGGGCATGGCTTGGACAGTGGTAAAATTTTGCACCACAATAATAAATGAGACAAGAAAAATGTACAGTTAGCAAAGCCTAGTAACTGCAATTTAGAACACAGTGCAGAGCAGAATTATATACTAATGTAATTTTTTTTAATTTTTTGATTTATTTAGAGTAAATGGACAAAACGTTATGTATCTTTCTATCATCATCTTCTAACGACACATTCCATATTATCTCAATCAATTAATCCAAACATAAGTTGCTCAAAAAAGTCATTTCTCAATGGTGAAAAACTATACATCAGATATGTACAAATATCTGATGTATAGTTTTATTATGGTAAATTACTTTGGTAAAAATAAACAAAATGTTAATGGATAATGCTGGAGGTAAGGGAATACTGTTTCCATTTTTTTAGTTAAAAAGCAAAGTGCAAGTCGCAGTTTAAACGTTGAGCCCTTTTTAAACTATGCCCTGATGAAAGGTGCCAACTGACTGAAAAAGTCAAATTGATAGCTCACGCTCAAATTGCAAGTCAATTAGTAAAATGTCTTCTTCTACTAGGTGCTCTACAAACGTCAGTAGAAAATACAACAATCACAATAAAGAATAAAGTGAAAAATCATCTTTACCTTCAAGCCATGACAAAAACACAATTTGACAATATGGTGAAAATAGAAATATCATTTCAAACCAAATTCTGTTTTACCATGGACCACTGAATAAATGCTTTCCTCATCACATTCAAAATATTAAAAAATACTTCCAACTCTGAAAGTTCACTGTAAGGTAGCAAGAAACGAATGGATCCAGATGAAAATAAGTTGACCACAACGGAGTGAAGAGAAACCGTTTACAATGACTACTAACGTTAAACATGCATAGTCTGAATGGGTATCAACACTATTGACACGACATCAAAAAAGAAAAGCAAGATTGTTTAAATTGTATCCAAGACCTGGGTCAGTACAGTACTGATTTAGGAACCATGAAAAATGTGACAGTGTCTTTCAAATCAGAGGGTGAATGTAACAGAACATTAGAAAGTGTTAGCAGAACATATCCTTCCTATCGGTAAAAAATCAGAAGAGCAAAACGGAAATTACAATATGATAATCCTCCCTTACGTACTGCTATAAGCGATATTCGGAAAAAAATAGTGTTTTGCATCATACAACATTCATATAATGGACTAGCCATCATTCTCTCCTGACGTAACTTCTATGAAAAATTTATGGGGCATGAAAATGGAAGACAGTTTGAATGGTTGGAAGGATTAAATTAGCCATCACAATAGAGTGACAGAAAATCAGTGTTAAAAGATAGCAAAATTTAATTTTTTTAATGTCAGAAGGTATATTTGCAATTATTTCTGAACGGAAAATCGATTAATATATAAATATTTTTTTGTTTGAGATTTAGTGAATAAATACAAGATGGCGTATAATTTGCCCCACCTTGAAATGGCTGTTTTTGCATATTATCTAAATTAATCGATTAGGACGGTATTTGATTTAAGTCATTAAAAAACAATGTTAAATAATTATGTAGAATTCTGTCTATCTACTCTAAATAATTGAAAAGATTTAAGAAAAATGACACTAGCGTATAATTCTGTATTGCACTGTACTTTTAAAACAGTACAATGCATTTAAAATGCAATATTTCTCATGCAAATATTTCATATGGTATAGTAAATATATTTTATAATTAATTAATTTACTTTAATTTAATCAAATGCTCGCATAATATATAAATACAGATTATAAAAATAATATTAAAAAAATTTAACACTTACGACTGCTATTTAATTCACAGGTAGTTTCATTACCAAGATTCACTGAAATTAAATTTGTAAATTGAAACTATCGTTAACATTCAAGTTATAACATATAGTATATGTAAGTACATAAAATTATATGTACATACACTTAATTTTATATATTGAATTTTACATTCTTAATGTAAAGTCAATGTCTACTTTCATAAATAGTTACATCTAATTATTTTTCTGGTAGAGATTGAACAGATGTAACCCCACTCCCACTAAAAATCTCAATAATCCATTGACTGTTCCATCAATGTGTTAAACAAAAACTCTCTGTTCATTTAAAAGTCGAATGTCAATGCTATTTCCCTTTTCTACTACAGTTGGTTGGATTGTTAGTTGAGGTTATTTGGCATAAGAGCCATATGGAAGACAAATCTGCATCATGTTAAGTTGCAGAATTAAATAAATAAATAAATATAGATTCTGTGTAAGTTCTGCTTCATATTTATTCAGACACTCATCAACATAAACTTAAAATTAAAGCAATGCATTGATTAAGTCCAATATATACACAAGTAAAACAGCAAAGCCGTATTTCGGACAAGAGTATGTCTCGGAGATTCACTACTAAGCGGAATCACTTTGACGCTCAAACGGGTCTCGTTCTCATTCTCCAATTTTTTTTGGTGTCGCTAGTTTTCAGCGCGATCGTCGAAACTTCGCCGGCCGCATCCACGAAGTCGACCACGATGCATTTTCGGTAAAATTATCCTATCCATGTCGAAATTTTTTCCGTTGCATGTCGGCCCGGGTTGAATTTTTGTCGATGCCTAACGAAAATTTCCAGTTTTGAAAGAAATAATCGTGGCTATTGTATTGTCCGAAATTATTTTTTCATTTTGAACAAACAATATACAGTTTAACCCGATTATAACGCCATCGGATGTAACGACAAACCTAATAGCAGCGTGGCTAAAATTTGTACTTGGAACGCCCTACCTTGTCTGTGATGTCCACGTCTTTTGTTCTGCCAGTAAAAATTAACTGAGAAATCACCCACGCAAATAATATACTTTATTTGTATTGGCTACACGATATTTTCAATAGTGTCGAGATATAATACAAATCCAAGACCGACTTGAAAGGTTAACTAACGTAAAGTAAACGGCTGTCGACTTGAAAGGTTAACTAACGTAAAGTAAAAAGCTGTCTCTCCTCATTGGAGTTTGGGAGCAAAGTGAGGTCAGAGGGAAAAGGCCATGCGGTGGCGCCCTCTGCCCTACAAGTCAAATTTTCATCAGTCCCACGATTTTACTATACAAGATAATGTTAAAAACCCACATGTAACGACATAAAACCCTGTTTTAACGTCATATTTAAAGCACTTCCAAATTTACAAAATTAGATTACAAATATTATTTAACAAAGAAAATATTATGTGTTCAGTCCTAAAAGCAGAGTTCACTTCCAAGAATGACTGTGGTTGGTACTCTCCTTACTTGACTTTGGTGAAGTGAGGTGCCTGTTTTGCTTGTTTCTAGAAGAGGGTCTCCATTTTGTATTTAATTTTGACTTGGTTCTCGGTCCCTTGACTACCTACAAGTGTTAAATTTTTATGCGCAAATGGTTTTGGCACCTAATACTCTCTGCCAAATACCAACTCCTGACATGTACTCCTTCTCACCTCTAAGCGGTAATATAAACAGGAGTACGATTTTATAAACAAGACCATAGTCTTGTCAATAACAATTGATATTATCTAACGTTTGATATAATGCAATTAATAGTGCAATGAACATAATGTACTCTTGTCGTGATACCTGTACCAAAAATATATTAAAATAAACTGTTTTAAATTTATCTGAACAGCACACTGTATCTCAGCATTGCATACAAAGACACCATCCAATATTTCTACCTTGTTGATAAATAACGACAAATATTTTACCTGGCATTGTTCTGTTTAAAGTTAAAGATATTGAGGCTTTAATTTGTCCCAAGCATCGGCAATTGCAGCTTTGAACTCAGTATTGCATTGAAACTATCTCTCATTTTCGTAAACTGCTCTTGCAAGCATTCCCGAAACATTTTCCATAAGCTATAAGTCTGGATCTACGGCAGGCCAGTCCACAACTTATATATTATTGTTTTTCAGCTATGATTCTGAACTCTTCGAGTTATGTATGGGTGCATTGTTCTGCTGAAAAGTCCAACTTGGGCTGTCATGTGAGAATCCAACCTTAACTCACTTTAATTCAACTTTAACGACCCAATTTTAAATGACAACAACGTCATACGTGCTCACCAATTGTTGTCCTTAGCTACCTGAGAAAATCTCCACTTACACGTTCCTGACGATGAAAATGACACACTCCCGCGATCTTTTGACCTTTAGGTCGAGCGATAACGGACGGTTCGAAATCGACGGCCGATATAGTCAGTCGTTGCCTGTTCCTCACGAATTAATGGCAAACTTATTTTCTGTGCCTGTGCAAAAATTTCCGGGATCTGATTTCATCAGGGACTAACGGTGCTGGCGAGGCGAACTTTTCTCAACTAGCATGCTCCAAACTCTCCCATTCCGGACCATTCCGTAAAACCTTCGATAACGGACTGAACCGTCAACACATCGACAAGAAATGCATCAAATTTATCATCACCCTGTAATTCATGTATTTATTATCTCGCGAACCACTGTAAACCCTCTCTCTCTGAATACTGCGAAAGTAGATTAAGTTCATCCTAGTTTACTTAATTTATTCCCAATCGAAATACGCTCGTAAGAATAATTGTAAAATAATGTTTTATATCGTTACAAATAAAAGTTGTTTTGTTGATCTGGTCTTCGCGTGAATCACTTCCAGTGCGCTGTCTCTCACTCCATCTCGAATCCGTTCGCGAGATTTTTTTTTAAGTCGAACCGCTGCGGTTTCAGTGGCAATCGAGACACAGTGGTATCAATCCTGACGAGGCACAAAAAAGGTGCTCACCCTCCAATTACAATAATTTGTCCAGCTTTCAAAAAGTGATCAAGGAGCCTGTTTTGATACTCCTCTAAATCCATTTTCTGCGTTATAAACGCTATTTTTGACAGATAATTAAAGCCAAAAGCACCCCATACCATTACTGATCATTCACACTACAAATATTTATTTTTGCTTCCTTACATCATTAGGAAATAAGCAATCATCCGAGCCATCCAGATTTCACTACTCGTCTCTTAACAGTATTTCATTACATTTATTTTTGCAGCTCGTATTTGTGTGCTCAATTAAGCATTTCTTCTTAGTGTTGAGCATTAGTTGTTAGTCAAGTAACATTTTTTCTGTATTTTAGTACAGAGTCTTTACTATAGAGTCTATAGTATAGACTCTGTACTATGGAGTGCTCTGTATATAGAGTGCTCTGCATAAATCGTCTATACCAGGGGTGAGCAACCTTTTTAATCAACGGGCCAATTTAAATTTTAAAATTTTCTGGCGGGCCGCGCATAAAGTAACACTTATTAATAATTTACAAAACTTTATTTATAATAAACATTAAAATAAAAAAATATAAAATTTAAAAAAAAGTAAAGATTTCATATACAAATTTTAATGCAAAATAAAAACAAACAAGAAAAGAACAGAAAAACGAATTTACTTGAAATTTTTAATGAGAAATTTGGCACTGTTTTTTCGATACAAGCTGATCAATATCAGCCGGAATTGATGAGGTAGCTANAATTGGGGCCGGAGACTAAAGAAAACAATAATTTAGAAAAAATGTTTAATAAAATCTTAGGTAATACATATGTTTTTTATATTTTTCAATATATTTATTTTGTTTGTACAAAATAAAGAAATAATTTTTAACGATACTATAGTCACGATTATTATTTTAAAAAGTTTACGTTAGGCTTAACATCGACGAAAATTCAACGCGAAACGACATGCAATGGAGAAAAATTTCAACATGAAATCGGTTAATATATTTGTTCGTACACAATCGGTTATCCGAAATAGCGATGTTCCGAACAACCCCAGTCCCCAATTAATTCGGATAATCGACGCTTTACTGTATTTCGTCCAGGCAGTCAGAAGTGAGACTGTATTTATAGGACTTTTTTGTAAAGTGTTAGTTTCAGTTTATGTTGACAATTACAAAACATTTTGCTTTTAATATATATTAAAAAAATATAGATAATATAATAAAATGTTACATTACATGCGAACGCATTCTTATACACGAGGTCGTGAATGGATTAATTCATTTTATATTGTTTCTTGTGATAAAATATGTTTTGGTTTTACAACAAACCGGTTATCGAACAATTTTTAGAAAGGAATTAAGTTCGAAAACCGATGTCTGACTGTAATCACTTATAATTGATTGTAATCTGGTAACGAGTTCAGCAATTTATCGTATTGATTTTACTACTAATTTATGTGATCTATTGTTCAAAAAAGATGAAATTTTTCTTTTTCTCCAATATCATGCTGTTTTAGTTTATTTCGTGGAAAACCAATGACAGTCTGGATAAATTAAAAAACAAGGTATTTTTACAGATATCTGTTTTTGATATACAGTGATACCTGGACATACGCTACCCCGACTTACGCAAACCCAGAGTTACGCGATTTTCAAATCTCGTCGATTCGTCTTTTGTTTAAGCGCCACGCAACTCTTGATAACTCACTCCTCCCACACTATTGTTCAGCTTACATGTTCGGACGTCTCGCGCGGAATCGACACATAGTTACAATTTATTTTGTGTTATTTATTTCTGTGTTTGTTAAATTTACAGAGACTTGAGAGACTCTATATCAGTGTTTCTCAACCTCTAACGAATCGTCGCCCCTTAAACGTAGTATCGCGTCCTTCAATAAACCGTTACGTTGTATCGTCCCCTTCACTTCAAAATTCCAATGCCGAGGGCCAAGACAAACGCCAAATTCATTCTGTATTGAATAGACTAGTAACTAGTATAATGTTATTTGTTTAATTATTGTACGATATCTAATTATTCTTAATATAATGTTTTACTATATCGTCCACAAAATTTTTTTTCGCCCCAACATATAAATTGTTACAAATGGCCCGCTCAACATAGAAAAACGCCCACATGGGGGCGATATTGCCCCATTGAGAAACACTGGTCTATGTAGTGATTTTTTGTAACCGTGAATGAATCAAAAGACAAGATAAGATTAACGAAAACATTTATTCTTTTACATACAACCGACTTGGATTTTACACTAATTGCGAAATTATACTCCGACTTACGCGAATCCAAATTACGCGGTTATTGATCGGTCCCACCTATCGCGTAAGATCGGGATATTACTGTATATAAAAAACAGTCCCGTGCGTATTTTCAGTATTTAATGTAAATATTTCAAATCTTAGTAAATACAGTTTGGTTAATATTGAACTTAAACATTGCATTGTTTACTTTATTAAATTGCTGTTGATGCGTGTCCGGTTAAATATGAAAAAAACCTTAAAAGTAAATATATATAATGTATAATAATATTAATAACAAAAGCAACAACAAACCTATAGAACTCCAGAAATAAACAAAAATAACAACAGGGCATAAAAGTATAATAAAAATAAATAAACAGATCTGTTTAGACACTTTAGAAACTTTTAGAAAGTCCACTAATATCAACATTTTCGTCTGTGGCCGTATTATACCGAGAATATTTTTTCTTGTATTAATGATTTTCATTATATTTTCTATTTTTATATTAGTAAGGCATCTCAAAATTATTTAGTAAAAATTTCTAGGCAAAATATATTACATAAAATAATTATTAATTGAATTAACTATTAGGAATATTATGCAGTGTGATTAACTCAGGACCGAAGATACATTTCGTCGAAGAACTTTAATTTTACAGTGAAAAATAGTGTATGAAAACATACTTTGATTTCCGGACTAAGTAGGAAATTAAGAATCATTCCATTTGCATTTCATCAACATGTTTTTAATTTATGTAGAGATATTTCACGTGAGAGTTGTGCAGTCCCAAGTGAATCACCACGTTGTTTACTAACAGTAAATTGTTAATAATAAGAAAATAAATACCTGGACAACAACTTTCATCACTTCCATCTGCACAATCTGTTTCATTATCGCAAATTTTATATTTTTGAACACATTTTGTACTGTTCTTCATTCCGATACATTTAATATTATGTTTTTCACATATACAGGTACAAACGCATGTTTCTTTATTTAATTTTCTTTCCTCTCCCTAATATGAAAAATAAAATTTTGTGTATTTAAGCAATGTGACACATTTTTCAAAATTTATTATTCAGTAAAAATTATTTTGTTAAAAATTAACTGAAATAAAGCATTTTGAAATATATATCATACAAATATAAAATAATTTGAAAAATATTGTAGTTCAATAGCATCATTTTAAAGAGCATCTAACCACACAGTAAAAACTTTATAAATTAAAATATCCTAATAACATTTGATAGCGCCGCATTGCAGCTGTTGGTCAGAACAGATTTGTGTTAAATGTATTTTCATATTTCAAGGTTGTGTGACGTGCGTGGCATAACAATATGGCAACACGAAGGGGACTTTCTCACGAAAATGTGCAGTGTTTAGGTGAGCTAAGTGATGTCTATAGTAGAAATGTGCCCAATTTTGGAAAACATAAAAAGAAACAAACGACCAAAGTTCTTAAAGAAAATAGTCCTTGCTTGGATCACTCCACATGCATGTCAACGATTGGAAGTGCAGCAGATGCCGAAAGATGTCAACTGGTTATTCGCAGTTGTGGCATTGTAGCAGAGACACCCACACCAGTCGCAAGCACCACACAACTTCATGCATGTCAACGCAAGAGATGCCATATTTGTCCCAGGTGAAGTGATAAGAAAACCAAATTTGTCTGTAACGAGTACAACAAGTTTGTGTGCGAATAGCATACCAAACGGTGGTGAAACCAATGCCAACAAGTAACATTTTGCCTACAGAACATGAAGACTTGTGCAATATTATTTGAATTTTATATTACATTGTCATACCATATTATTCCATGGAAAAAATTTTATTGATGATAAAGTGTTGTTATTCTGGTCATAGAGTATGTTTTTCGTTTGAGATTAAAATGACCCCATTTTAAAAATGGTTTTATGGTACCTAATCTGGGTTAATTTTTGATCGGTTGAGTTTTTGAAGCAAAAGAGAGAATCGTAAGGAAAACAGCGAGAAAATGAGTATATGGCAGATGAGAGAGAGAATCGCATTTCGGGTGAAATTGAAATCAGAAACTGTACAAAGGATAAAGTCACGTAAGTAGTGTAATTTATATCATTTTTTAAGCAATTTATGTTACTTAATTGATAATTTGTGTTATGTTTTTTATTGGTTTATTTATAAAATCGTTTCGACCGTGTCGACTGAATTTCGAAAATTTGAAGAAATAAAGTTAAACTTGAGAATAAATCCTTATTGTTGAGTACATTTTTTATTGTCCAAAGCAAGAATATTCAGTATAGTGTAATCTACAAATAATAATTATTTCTGGCGACTACATTAACATTTTACAACTATCTGTTACGAAGAAAAACGACAAGCGAATTAGTTAACAATAGGAGAGAAACTGACAAAGAACACCATGCAGAAGGGCTACAAAGGCTCTTGAACAATCATCGTGGTCATTTTTTTACTGATACGGCTCTTACAATGAGATTCAATTTTCTGATAAGAGATAGAAAAAATCTCCAGAAAATCAAAACAAATATGTTCGACTTTCTCGGATATGTCGAGAACTATGTAAAGATAAATCAGATTGTTATGCCAAAGTTGACAATAGATGCTGCAGATGAGATGGCTGCACTTCACCATGATGAAATGGAAAAATCACAATTCAAAAAGACAGTTTTGGAATGGACTGACGAAGATTCCACTGTTAGGAATGAAGAGGGGGCAAATGTGGGTCGAAGTGACAGTTTTTCATCACAGCAGGTCAAGGTCAGAAGAACAAACATTTAGGGGAGACCGGGGCAACTTCGGCATGCGGGGCAAGTTTGTCAAGCGATTTTTTTTAAAAACAAATTAAAAGGAGACTTTGGTTATAGGTTAGGCAGTTGAGTTTTATTGGTGGCTTGTTGAGTGTAGTGTTTTTATTGTTCTCCAACAAGCGTAGTTGAATTATCAAGCAAATTTTCATTTTCGTTCAATTCCATATAATATTTTTTTTCCATTTATATTGAATTGGCAGGTTTTGTTATAATTCCATGATAACGAAAGTTACTTTTCCTGTTAGAAGGATGTAACTTCAACTTATTCACGTGGCCAGATCGTGGCTTGGCATTCTGTTCTCAGGGTTGTACTTAATGTTTCGAAATCATGACTAGCGGGGTAAGATCGGCAACATAAAGCCACATTAGAAGCAAAGGATAAAAATCAAACAGATGATAAATGAAAACATGTTTGCATTTGTTATTCATGTATATATGTCTTTGAACTTGCATTTCGTTGTAATAATATTAAATGGGTGTTGGATTTGTATTTCTTTGTTTTAATAGTGAATTCCAACTTATACATTGTTAATAACATAATTTTATATACGTGCCTATCTTGCCCCATTACTGTTGCCCCTATACCAGGGGCAACTTTAATAAAAATAATTAAAATAATTACAACTTTACAAAAAGAGAGAAGTTGCCGATCTTGCCCCTATACCCGGGGCAACTTCGTCAATTTCTCTCTTCTTGTAAAGTTGTAATTATTTTAATTATTTTTATTTCCAAACTGATTTTAACCAGTTCTATAGTAAGGTAACATTCCAATAGACAATATGCAAAGCTTTTTTTTCAGTTTACAGCAGTATTTATTACACAAAATTTAAGTAAAGCTTAACATGCCGATCTTGCCCCGGTCTCCCCTACTCTTATGGAAAAGCAACCATCAATGATTCAGACGGTAGCTGATTTAACGTCTCGAGTCATTGTAGCTACGCCAGAATATGTAGCCTTTCAGAGGATATCCTATGGATTTGTTATATTTATGAATATTATCGAAAATCGAAAGACAGTAATCAAAGGTTTTATTACCTAAAGCAGTGTACTTTGGGAGATGAGAAGAGATTGATAAGATACTATCAGACGTTGTATGCAAAAGTAGTCTATACTGAGGCAAAACGTTAAACAGATTTAGGAAATGGATTGAAATTGGCCGAAGTTTTCACAAAGTTTACTAACTGGCATACTCTCTATCGCCAAGATTATTAGTATGCCAGTTAGCACTTTATTGTTGTTTTGTTTTGCCGATGAAAACCAAGAATAATATGAAAAGAATTGACGAACTCAGTGATATTTAGTATCCTAAAAATATTCGAGCCATTTTGGAAATGTTGCCATTTGACTTGAAGAAAGATTGGAAAAGATTCTGTATGAATTTAGTAAGATAAACACGAAAAAGCTCGCTTCCGTCATTTAGATCATTTTTAGTACAGAGTTGTTGCTCTGGATAGCTTCAGCATTCACTTTATGATTACATCCTTTACCAAGATCAAAACAAGTCGACGAATAGCAAGAATCGAAAAGATTCGTGCCTTTATCGCCAATATTTCGTTTTGAGAAGTGACGAAAGATGGCTGTACGTTCTGCGAAAAGGAGAACGACATTAGGTAATGTTATGAGTTCATGAAAAAAAAACGTGAGAAAGAGAAGTAAGCTTTGTTTCTTATGTTTGAAAGCTAATCACTCAGCAAAACATCGCAAAAGTGGAATAAGATTTGATAAGTGTCACAAAAACAAGCGATTATTCTCCATCTAGTCACGAATCAAAAGGGCAAGGAAACAATTAACAAAGAATCAAGTGTTAATAAAGTTTAATTGGATTTGTTAACAGTGTAGATTAAATTGAGTTGAATAAAGGAAAAACGCCACTGACAAAATATCTGTTTTGGTCGGAGCCAGAAAGGGTAAAGAGTGGCCACTTATCCGTTTCTGGATATGGGAAGTTCTTTATTATTTTTGTTCAGAGGAAATTATGAAAAAATGGAAGTGAGTAATGACCGAAAAAAGCCTTTATATTTCCACCATGAAGAAGAATAATAGTCGATGTTAGTTGTTATGTCATGAAAGGAGTGAAAGTGTGTGATCTAAACAGAAACGTGAGTATTCTATTTCCCGAGTTATACACAAGGGCTGAGTTTACGGTTGACAGCGCAGACATTGTAAAGCACAATGAGATTCAATTTTCTGATAAGAGATAGAAAAAATCTCCAGAAAATCAAAACAAATATGTTCGACTTTCTCGGATATGTCGAGAACTATGTAAAGATAAATCAGATTGTTATGCCAAAGTTGACAATAGATGCTGCAGATGAGATTGCTGCACTTCACCATGATGAAATGGAAAAATCACAATTCAAAAAGACAGTTTTGGAATGGACTGACGAAGATTCCACTGTTAGGAATGAAGAGGGGGCAAATGTGGGTCGAAGTGACAGTTTTTCATCACAGCAGGTCAAGGTCAGAAGAACAAACATTTAGGGGAGACCGGGGCAACTTCGGCATGCGGGGCAAGTTTGTCAAGCGATTTTTTTTTAAAACAAATTAAAAGGAGACTTTGGTTATAGGTTAGGCAGTTGAGTTTTATTGGTGGCTTGTTGAGTGTAGTGTTTTTATTGTTCTCCAACAAACGTAGTTGAATTATCAAGCAAATTTTCATTTTCGTTCAATTCCATATAATATTTTTTTTCCATTTATATTGAATTGGCAGGTTTTGTTATAATTCCATGATAACGAAAGTTACTTTTCCTGTT